CCCAGGCGTGCCTGGGATGCCCCCCCTGCCGGCTTCCCCCGAGGCTTTGAGGATCCTACTTCTACTTCGCGGATTTTCATCTATCGCGGTAGGGTTTGGAACCTATCTACCGCGATAAACGAGGGTTCACTGTAGTATTAAAAAAAAACAACTTGACTGACCCACCAATTGGCACCCACACACAAATATGCCTTTAGCATACATTAAAACTTAATGGGATAAAATATTTTCTGAGGGGATTCACTTGACATATGTAAGGGGTCTGTTACCCCTTACTAAAACTTCTGTGGGAGTTTTTGGTTTACCAGCTTCAGAAGGGGAAGGGTTCATGAGACTGACAGACCCCAGAGACAATGGAAAGCAGTCAACACTCCAGCTCAGCCTGACTGACAGGTTGTAAGTGGGGGTTGTTCTGGCTCTCTCTCTGAGCAAACAGGGAGCTGAAAGAGCAGAGCGAGCTGTGTGCAGGAGAGGTCCTGCAAAGACAGAGATCTGAAAGAGGAGTACAAGAAGAAGTCCTGCAGCGACAGAACCAGACACAGACAGGCCAAGCAGTGCAGACCCTGTGTTGAGCAGCAGACTGGCAGTGCTCAGAAAGCCAAAAGGAACAGAGAAACAACACAAGGAGCTGGAACTGGCCAAGCAGCACAGCCTGCAGCTGGATGTGGTGAGCTACTGGGACCTGCAAAGTGTGGGGAAAGGCTCTGGACTGGGAGAGGGGTCTGGCCACTTCGAGCTTGAGACTGTGTGGTCACTACCAGAGCTAGCGTGTCCAGCCTGTAGCCCCCCCCTGCAGCATATCCAGGGCCTCTAAGAAAGAGACTGTGGACTGTCCTTATACTCTGCAGGCTGCTGTTTTGATGTCCCTGTGCTACAGAGCAGGGCTGTGTGTTCTCATTTAACCATTCTCATTTTTTTCTTATTCTTTTCTCTTTAATCCGTTGTTGTTTAATAAATTGTATTTGCTTTGAACCTTATGAAGTGATCACTGGGCCAAGAAGGCCTGCAGTGTAAAGAGAGCACCTCGGAGTGGGGACACCCTAACTCCTGCCCCTAGTGACTACAAGGTCAGGGATTAAGCCCCAGGAAACCTGGGCCCAGCCTTGTTGGGGTTTCAAGGGCTCTGCTACTCAGGAGAGTGGAGGGGGAGCCCTCAGGATCAGGGAGCCGTGGGGTAAAGGAAGTGGGAGCGGGGACTCAGATCCTTTCGCTGGTTCATTTCACCGGGGTGTATAGAAGCCAGGAAAGTTCCCCACAAGAGCGGGACCATTCCCCCGCTTACATATGGAAGTGTAAGGGAGAAGAGGCCCCACTACTTGTGTAATCCTGAGGAGGGGCTAACCCCAATGTGGCTTAGAGGCTGAGCACTATGACTGCTCCAGGTGTCAACAATGGTTGGCAGAAGGAGGGAAACACAAACTAGTTGTAAATATTTTTTTATTATGGAATATCTGGTATCTTTGATGGCTACCCATCAAGAACAGTGGCAGATGTTCTCCATGTTTCATATGGTACTGTTATATCCCTGCATTGCAGGGGCCTGCTTAAAGACTACCACAAAGAATCCATTTTAGAAAAGCCAAATAATTTGTACATGCTGACTGCAACACTCGGCATTTGGCTTTTATCTGTCATTGCACAGATGGACTGGAATGCTACTGTGAGATGATGGGCCTTCACTACTATAGTCAGCACTGAGGATTAGGAGTCCTGTGGGTTGTCTTCCAATTCCAATGTAGTTTACTATTGCTAAATCTGACAGGGTACATCTACACTTGCTTCCTAGTTCGAACTAGGGATGCAAATGTAGGTGACTGAAATTGCTAATGAAGGGAGGATTTAAATATTTTTTGAGGAGTAATGTTAGTTCGAACCAAGGGATTTGATTTGAACTAATGCATCCCGGAGCACACTTCCTTGGTCGAATCAGCTGGCGAGCGGAATAGCGCGTGGGCGAGATTATGCTAATGAAGAGCGGGTTCTTTAAATCTCTGCTTTATTCGCAATTTTGGTCGCCTATATTTGCATCCCTAGTTTGAACTAAGGAGCAAGTATAGATGTACCCTCATAGGGCTTATCCCCCTGTCATTGAACAAGCTGGCAGAATCCTCAGGTCCAATAAGGGCAGGATCAGGCCCCAAAAGAATAAAGACAAGCACAAAGGTTATCAAGCTCTTTAAAAAAAAAAAAGAGCATTTCACTACATTTCTCTTTAATTAGCCATTCCAGCTCTATTGTACTGGAGTTACTGCAGTATGAGAGAGGTGTCAGGTTCCATAATTCTTTCTTGTAGATACATTTCAATTCAAGGAAGACAGCCCTTTTATGGTCCAGCTCTGTGGGAGAATTGTGTGGAAGGGCAGTACTGCATCGGGGCCCGGCTCTGCCTCAGCTGGAAATTATTCCTGGGGTTTCAGGAAGCTGATCACGGTCAGTATTGGAGAACTGGGGGCAGACAATATTTGTGGTCTGAGAGGATCCGCCTGAGTAACGTGGCTGGGCTATGCAAGTACCCGCCTAGAGTCTGCTGTGCATGTTTGGGAACACTGGTGGATATAAGAATGATCTGACCCTTTCTTACAGGGGGAGAATGGTAAAAGCTGAGTTATTCTGTCAGCCAAAGGATATGAGAGGCGTTGCTTTTATAACCATCAGAGTAATCCTAAGGAAACCTTGAAGCTTTAATGGGAGTCATTTTAACATATTTCCTGTAATTTGTACTGTTTATTTTGATACATGTTCAGAATGTTTCTGTAATATTTTTCATGCATGAGCCACCCTTGGCAGAATAGCAAGATCTTCACATGCACCCAGGCTGACTATTATGATTGGCTGAGCTTTACTAACGATTTGTAATACCAAACATCAGCCATGTGTTTGGAACAGAGCTGTGCCAGGACCACACTACCAGCTTCCAAAATGGAAATATCACTTTAGTGCAAACAACTTGACCTCAGATGACCTACCAGTGACCCCACCCACACAAATTCTGATTTGCAGTACTGAGTTCTACCCAGAAGGCTTTGTCAGCAAAAACAAAAGGGTTCAGCTTTCAAGAGCTGATTCTCCACTGCCTACACCTTGCATAGTCATTTACATGTATACAAAGTGAGAGTAAAATGCTATGATTGGTGTGAATGTTTGATATGTTCTATACTCCCTCTGCACAGGTCCACATGGCTAAACACAGTGGTGGAGAAACAGGCTTAATCCCAAAGGCCAGATACTGATCTCTCATAATGCCGTAACTCCATTGAATTCAGTAGTTACTATGGCTTTATCCTGGTGGAAACTGACTAAGAATCTGGCTGGAAGTGTGCACTGCCTATTCTTCTGAATAAGGAATTTTATATTTTTTTCAAGAAGTAGTGAAAGAAACAAAAGCTGGTGTAAGGCATGAAACGTCCCCTTTTTAGTCAAACAGCTTTCCACTGCAGAGAGTCTAAAACCTGTGGCTCTCTGTGCATGGGCTGAGGGAGCCAGCTCTCATACCCAAAGCTGTAGGAAGCTCATCAATGTCCATGTGACCTATACATCACCAGCAGAGGATGGTGTCATACCAAGCTGGCCTGGGTTACGGGTATGACTCTCACACATCATAGTGTATACAGACAATGTATGGACCCAAGGATTGCTTGGTGCTGGAACTCATCTTGTTGGCCCAAGGCAAGCCTGCACAGCTGTGCAAAGGAGAGAGGTCTGGAAGTAAGCTGTGCCATGGGTCTGTGTGGATGGGCACCAGTTTACTCCCTGCCCCAAAAGAAGTGGGTGGGACATCTACTTTGACATGGAAGGTTCCTACGTGGCACAGGCAGCAACTCACTCTCCAGCTCCTGTGACAAAGGGGACAACAGCAGGAACTATGTCTTAGCAATGTTTGTTGGGCTGGGATAGCTCATGCATGACCCTTTCCCCAAGCTATGTGTTAGCTCCTCACAGATACTAAGGAGTTAGCATCTCATCAGTCACAGAAGAGGGGCCAAGGACTGAGTGGACAGGGTGAAGCTGATCTTCCACCTCCTTGCAACAGGAGGCCACTCCATGTCAGCCCTGTGGCTCAGTGGCATTAGGTGGCCTGCCATGGTGCTGCTTCTAAGGGAGCGCTGCTCTGTCCCCTTCTAACCAGGCACACTCTACCATTTCTAATGGCTCATGTGCTGCTTTGGTGTCTCTCACACTGAAGCTCTAATACAAATGATTAAATAATCAGTTGTTTATGAAGAGCTAGTCCCTGCCAAAGAGCTCAGGGCTTTAAACAAACCACTGAGAAGGAGCGAGCATCAGAGAAATAAATAACAAAACACAAGAAATCTACACAAAGTGACCTTGCTGGAAAGGGCCAGAGTGGGACACAGAAAAGAACAGCCCTACAGAGGAGGGGCAGGACGACCGGAGCTCAGGCGGATGGTTAGAGAGTGATGAAGGCTATTCTCTAGGGAAAACTATGGAATAATCTGTTGACCTGATGGAGAAGAATGATGCTTAAAGAGGAGGTTCTGACAGAGCTGAGTTCCTGTGCATGAAGGTGTTTGGAAACCAGCTTGGCCCATGAAGAATATTGCTGTTTCATAGGCAGAAAGAAAGAAGGTAGGGCAGGCATTGCAGGCTGCAGCAGCTCTGTCCTGTGAGAATGCTGCTGTACACGGAAGTAGCTTGGAAGGCAGAGAAACCCTTCTGAAGGGCATACAGTAGCTAACTCTGGTCCTAAGAGCATGTAATCTGTGTAAAGGCAGAACTGAAATAAGTAAGGGTATGTCTACACTACCCTCCTAGTTCGAACTAGGAGGGTAGTGTAGACATACCCTAAGATAGGAACGGCTGCCTTCCCAGGGTGTGACAGAATCAGATTTATTACAGGTCCAGGTTTGATCCCTTTAGTTCAACTGCTGCGGCTTTTGTGTGTAGATAATGCCCTACATCACATGCACATGGAGCTGATGGAGGGGTTACTGCAGCAAACAGTGCACCTTCCCAGCAATTCACCCATGGTTTTACAGATAGCAAGGATATTATTATTTTCTAGCACCATCTAGTGGCTATGCACCATCCTCACCTAGGCACCCTGCCTGCAATTTTTTTAACAGATGAGTTAAGAAAATAATCTCCCTTTAATATGAATTCAAGCAACCTACCATAACAAAATTATGATTAACCTGTTTCTTCATTTATTCTTTGTAATTATATGCCCACTAACTGTGGGTATGTCTACACTACCACCCTAGTTCGAACTAGGGTGGTAATGTAGGTAACCGGAGTTGCAAATGAAGCCCGGGATTTGAATTTCCCGGGCTTCATTTGCATAAAGCTGGGCGTCGCCATTTTTAAATGTCCGCTAGTGCGGACTCCGTGCCCGCGGCTACACGCGGTACAAACTAGGTAGTTCGGATTAGGCTTCCTATTCCGAACTACCGGTACACCTCGTTCCACATGTAGCCGCGTGGCACGGAGTCCGCACTAGCGGACATTTAAAAATGGCGGCACCCGGCTTTATGCAAATGAAAGCCGGGAAAATCAA